CAACCCCACTGTCCTCCCTACTTTACGGCATTTGATTTTCCTTCATGAAATTACTCCCCCAAAATGACCAAAGAAGTTGCTTTATTTGAGCAGGTATTGTAAGCTGGTAACGAAATTCTTGCTTGCAGAGCAAGTGCCGTTTGCCCCGATAACTATTGCGTGACTACAGGTGGAATGACTTTTAAAAATGGCGAATACATATTCGACAAGTTTTGCTTCAAAATAAGCACAGAAAATAGTATAATCAAAGACGATCATTGACTACAATATCATTTTTATTCTCGTATTTAAAAAACTAGATTTTTATCATAGATGAAAATTTGGACAACAATTAAGGAATGTACTGATAACATGAGCAACATTCGATGATTTGTACGTGCACGGGTACAGAGCTTACGGGGACGTTTAAAAGCGTTCCTAAAACAAGAAGAAAAAAAAGGGAAAAGAAATATTTCACTTAATTACATCATTGACTTTCTACCGTGGACAGGTTCACCTGAAAAAAATAGACGTATCTTTAACGTTAATGATTTAGGAGACTCAGCAGGAAGCTGAAACGATCTCATTTCGTTTCATTAATTTAAATAATTCAATACCATTATGCTGCATTATAATTTTCGTTCTTCTAAAATGGAGTACTAATACCAAGATAAACCACTGCCTAAAAGGTTAAAAATAAAAAACGTTTGCTCCCTAAGGACTGATTCGTTCGAAACAAATCCCGAGGTGAAACGAATTATCATGTATCGAAACACAACAGTAGAGGTTCGCTCCGCTACTTCGTCAACCACCTACCGTATGGCACTTAATGATGTCATTCGTTGTATTCGAAATAGTTAAAAATCGAGCAAAGTATTTTAAAATTTGGTATCCGTTTGAACGGTTCTCAGTCAATCTTGCTATTGGTGTTCCTCTGTAAACAGCTTTAAAGGCTGGACAACAAATACTGCTTATGCTAGTTAGCTTGACTTGCGATTTTTTGAATCTGGAACAGTTCGAAAGTAAAAATCAAAGTTAATTAAATCAGTCTTGAAGTAGAACAGTGAAGTATAACCACTCATTCTGACGGTTCAGCGTGGAGGCGGGTATGGGTGATTACCGTGGGGTGGATGACGAGGTCCTAATAGGCCTCCTAGAACTCCATGCACCACAGCACCAAGGCCACCATCGGGTGGAGGAGGTGGGGCCGTGCCAGTTGGATACGGTGGAGGACCCACTCCAGGACCAGGATATGCATAAGGATTTCCCATTCCTCCAAAAGGTGCTGATCCAGGGTAAGGTGAGCCTCCTGGCACTGGTGGTGGGTAGGCTCCAGGTTGGGGTGTTGGCATCCCAGGGAAACCCGGGGCCGGAAACCCCGCACCCGGAAACCCCGCACCCGGGCATGGCCCTGGTTGAGGTGGAAATCCCGGTTGCCGACGATTCATAAGAATTTCCTTTGCTCTCCTTTTTTCATCTGGAAATTTAAAAGCGCTTTCCAGTGCTGATAAGTCATTGTCGGTGATGTGGGGCGAGATCGCTTCCATAGCTTTCATTCTGCGATCTTTGAAGTCGAAAGCACGGAGTATAGATGCAGCTTGAGAACATGTAATGCTGTACATGCGTGGAGCACAAGCATCAAGAGCATCCGACTTCGCATCATCGAACGTAAATTCGGCAATAAGTAGAGCGACTTGTTCGCCAGATAGATATCCATAAGCACAAGACAGGCTCGATTTCAGTGCCTCTACCTTACGATCCTTGAAATGTTGTTCTTTAACAGCCCGCCTGATGTTTTCAAAGCTGCCTGGATCCATGTTATGTCCTCCTCTCAGCGACTGTGACTTACTGATGGTGCATGTGATCACGTTTCGAAATAAGTTCGCGACCTTGTTGATCACGTGACAAGCACACCTTACTATGTGTTGCGTGACTAGCCTACGTGTAGCCGCACCCTCCCCTGCAGGGTGGAAAGGAGACGAGGGAACCCTACCTTCCGTTTCACTTTGGCGGGGGAGGGTACGGCTACACGTAGGCTATTGTGTGACAGGAGTGTTACGTGCTTCACGCGTGGATAAAACACTCGGCTGCTATTACGAGAGAGTTACAGTTGTTGAAGAGTCAGATTCAGCGCTGAGGACGAAGTTTCAATTTTGTATGCAAGAAAGAACATTAAGCATACGACAGCCTATCATGCTATGCTTTAAGGCCTTAGTCGATCAGTCAGTGAAAACTGAAGCGATAAAAACGGTTGAGCGACTGAATATAATACAAGTAAAGAGGAATGCGGATGTGGGTTGGGTTTCGTTAATTGTGTCCTTCCGTTTCGCTTCGAGTTGCATACTGTTAGATGAGCAGAAATTGGGCATCATTTGGTTTTGGCCATTTCGAAACCGGGTTTCACCAACATTTTCGGTTTTAATGACTGATTGTCAATGAAGAAAGCTGTTTTACCGTCCAATCTCTGGGTCTTTTCACTTTTTGTGCGATTTTCAGCGCGGCGTTTCATTTGTTATGGAAATTTTGTCAGTTTTGCGGTTTTTCGATGGCTTGGAATTCTGACTTTCCTGATTACATGTGATCATTGTCTAGACGTTATGGATACCCAAAGTATACCTACTGGGCCATAGCACGAAAAAAAAGAGGAAGAACGATTTCACACACGAAAAGCAAGTCATTCAGCCAATATTTTTAATAGTCTGTAGTTCTTACAGTTAACACTGAACCGTGGCTGCATCAGTTAACTGTAAGCAATAGGAGTAATAGTGAATCCTTGCTCTCTGGAAGAAAACTTAGAAAACTTTCGATCCTCTCTAAATATCGACTCCGAGATTAGGTGGACCTACAAAAAATATTTCTTCAACTTAGAACAGAATATTAAGACATTTAAGAACTACAGAGGTTATGTCGCACACATGACATCACGCTTTCGGCGTTTAACTGATAACTAATTACATCGAACTGTTTCAAGTTTAAAAATGTGGGGAAATGCTTTTAAATTGGAACACAACGTCTTATTTTCTTAACTTAAAATATTTTAGAAACAACATTTTACAGCGTTGGATTTCGGAAACTACACTTTTTATAAGGCATCCACAATATATATAGCTGACTAAATTCATCTGATATATCGAATAAATATATAAAAATTATAATAACAGAATTATTTTTTTTTTACTACTCTATCAGTAATACCAAGCTGTACAACTCTTAATTAAGCGGAATATCATTATTTTGCTCTACTCTTTTTTTTTCCCATGTCTTCTAAAGAGGGGGCTATGACTTAAAAGATTCTCAAATGACACTGTAATCCACTAAAACCCAGCTAAACGGAGTTAAGGAGTTGCCCCGGCAGGAGACAAAAGCTGATTCATTTCTAAAGGAAATACGTGATTAAGAATATCGCAACGCACCGGGTATTTCATTGTACTTAAATTTAAAATTATTCTCACGATCCTAAACATAATAAATAAAGCTTTGTCTGAATTTTTCTTAATATGATTAAGCCTACCTATTTCTTTCGGCCGAAAGAAAAGATAGAGATTGATTTGGGTTTTAGCTCATTATGACGTCGATAGTAACTAGCTACTTCCATATATTTAAATATTAAATATTGGGCTAAATTGGGGCAATTAGGCAATGAATTGCAAAATTGAAAACCAAACTGTAATTTACCGTCGATGATAGTTCTTTCCGATTTTCTTAATTTCAATTTTGATTGAAAATTAAGCTCGAAAATCACCCTCATCTGGGATGTGATCGGGAGTTTGCCAAAAAGTAATCTCTCTCTCATTAAACGTTCCCATGTAAACTCGAAATCGACTCAGGTACACAATATATACATAGAGAACCATCGTTCTATAGACCCTAACACGTTCATTTAGCACTTCAAAATTCTTAACAAAGAATGTTGCAAGAGCGCTGTAGAAAAGAATCTAATGGGCTTGAAAAAGTGCATTGAAGAAACAAGAAGTACGACATAATCCACCCTTCGTTTTTGATTTTCTTCGTCTTGTTTTCTGTTTTGTTTTGTTTTGTTTTTTTCAGGATTAGCGCTTACCCTCTAGAGGCAACAGTTTCGGTGACAAAGACAACTTACGAGCACTAGAAGAAGGGACGATCGGTGACACTTTCACACAAGTCGACATCAATTCCAAAAATTTTGCATGCATCTGCCAGTAATCCATATCCCTCCAGGATTTCTGTTTCGGTTTGTTGAGCCACTGTTTTTTGTTGTCTATAACTGGTATGCAAAATTTCCCTAAGCGAAGCGACTTACCCTCCTTTAGAAAGAACATCAAATAGGAACGCGCCTAAGTTCACAAACCTATACCCTTCAGAAGAATCAATCAACGGAAACGAGAAGACTCTAAAACCAGAAATCCGAGGTGCCCGGCACTTAGAAGCTCTCATAAAATTAAATTTATACCAAAAGACAAAAGACAACTGTTTGTCGCCTGTAGCATCCAGGGTCTGTCATGGAACAGCCCTATTTAAGGTAGCGTATTTGAGAAATAGTAATGTGAAATTCAAAATTTTATGTATAATATTGGCGAACGAATCTAATGTTAAAACGTCAAAGAGTTTGAGATGATATTGTTCATTATACTCTCGATTCTGACCGTTCCAATCAACGGCGAGAAGAACAATTCCTCTGCAGCTCGCTGCGTGAGAACCCGAGTAGCTGGCAGCCGTAAAAGTATCTTTGCAAACCGTTCAGGATTGCTTGGGCGCTGTTTTTCAACATAAAGTTTAAGGGCGCAATGAGCCTTTTCTTGAAGTCTTTCAACTTGTTTAGGATTTTTTAAACTTGAACAGTCTGTGAAGGAGACAAAGAGAACATTTGCATTAGATTGACTTAGAGATAAGATAATCAAATCAAACTAATCAAAGGGATAGGAAATTAAATAAACTATCAACAATTTAATCTACTCAAGAAATAGAAAATTGTTCACTTGATTGCAATTATCGTCTCCAAAGACCTGAACTAACGGGAAAATAAGATGATATACTCATGAACTCAGCCCGCAGATTTCCACATATTGCGTTACGTTTTCCTTACTTCTCAGATTCTAAAAGCAATTAACACTCAAAATGGCAAATCATTCATTACAGCAATACATGAGCAAATTCCACATGGAAACTAGTGTTATAAGTCATGTAGGAAGAATCTGGCATGACATGTGTCTTATTAAGATTCAGTGATTGAGACACAAACTACACAACACAGTGAGGCTCTCCAGTTTTGTTGTTTGGTATGACTTTTGTAACGATCACATTTACACTTTGATGAAGTTAGAAGTATTTGGCATACCTGCATTGAAAAGTACTATTGTCTTCAGGAATGCATACTCCACAGAATCCAACTCAAGCTTTTCAAGACTAAACAAGAGGTCTTTTACACTCATTATCTTCTCAACCATGTTTGGTTCTTTAGTTTGCACAGGAGACTTTCGATCTCCACCTCCTTCACTTTGTTCCATGTGTGAAGCAGCAAGTGTCAATAATGGTGACAAGGGAAAAGAACTTGAACACTGTGCAACACCCAGCATAAAAAGATCTGACCAAGTACTTTGTAGTAACACAAGTTGATCATTATTATCAAGACTGCGAAAGGCTTGTATGCTACGTGCCCAATCGACTGTCAGGAATAGGAGACGAGTGGCTATTTCATAAACATACTCCATAGATAATGTAGAAACACCCAATGTTGGAGGATTCAATTTAAATTGAAGATGTTCAGGATTTAGAATGCAGTCATTCTGATCTGATGAGAGGAATTGAGAGAGAGACATTTGAGGTGTGCCATTCACTGGTGATGAGGCCAATGGGCTGTTTGGTGTAAAACATGGTGATTCTGTCTTTTCCAGAAAAACTGAATGCATTGATTGATTTGTAGGAGACAAACTTGCACTTCTTGTGTGGTTTTCCCCACTACTGTCCTCTGCAGACTTTATAAGTGGTTTTCTTTCACATTGCACAGCTGAGACAAATGTAATAAGAATCAGTAAATGTGGATATGTTTCATAACACATTTATAACATGTTCTCATCAAATGTCAAAACAAACAGAGGCTCACAGCCATGGGCAAAAACAGTTCAGCAAGGGATCTAGAATACCTGACTACTCTTCTTAGGGCAAAGCTTTGAATGAAAAAACTTTGATGAAATATATAGGTGCAAATCATACACAAAAGTAAGAAGTGCATCTGGGACAACTTACATAGAGATAAAAATAAAATTTAAAAAAAATAAAGAAAAACCCAAAAAATTGTTGGTAAATTTTTTACATTTTCAAAAGCTTGCTTTAGTTACAATAAAAAAAGGGCAACTTAAGCTCAGATGCCTTTTCCAGTATACAAACCATTCAGGATATGGCATTGTGTAATCATTAGTAAAGGATTCTAAAACTTCACATGGCAGTGCATGCATCATCTTCTCCTGAAGATAGTATCATCTGTAGCACAGTGACATACGTGCGTACGTGTTGTCTGCCAGAGTTTGTTATGTAATACAAGATCATGTTTTAAATTTAAAGCAGTTGACGTTACAGCAAGTTGAGGCTGTATATATTGCATATGCCTACGATATTCAAAAACTAGAATTACATACAGAAAAGATTTATAGCTGGGCGTCTCTAATGCTATACTTAGTTTCCTAGCCCCATGCATAGCAGAGCTAATTTCATTATTTGCATTTTCATCCTTGCTTTATTCTTTTTGCATTATGTAACTTAAATGTATTGCCCCTTAAGTGAACCATGAAAAGTAATCCTTCATTAAGCTAATCTTGAGTGCATGCCATAACATATAGCACGAGCACAACAGACCTGACGAGTGACAGTGATTATTATGAAATGCCCTTTTTTAAGCCAAATTACTAAGAATGTGAGAATGTAAGAATGTGTTTTGCTGAATTACACACGAGAAACAGGCTGATCAATCTAAACAACAGCTCTGCGAAAGAAGAAAATCCCACTGTGCATTATTGATAACGTTTGCTAATCAAATAGAAGTACATATGAAAATAAACATTATGGCTGTTGCCATAAGCAGAAAACATATTTAAAAATGTACATGGTCCGTGTTGCACATATGACAGAACTGTTACATAATCAATGGTAGTCTGTATACAGGATTTTCACATAACAGAGTACGTGATCCAGTTTCACAGTAATGGATTTTGTATAAGGATCTGAACGGATGCTTAGAACATTTGCGACCTCCCTAAACCACTCACTGGTACAACAAAGAAAAGTACAGTAACTTGCTTTTTTTCCCCCATCTCGTGCTGTTGGTGTTTACTTAGCTCATAAGACTTCGTGACTCGCGCGCGCATCACTCACGCAAATAAAAAACGTGACCTCGAATTTTCAACGTTGTTTAGCGTGTTTGGACACGTGAAGATGCAAATTCGCTCGACAAACAAGATCTAAAGTAAGAAAAAAAACAAGACGACCTGACAACTAACATGCTTCTTTGAAAATACTCTTATTTTTATGAAAATGACCTCTCTCGAAATAGCATCATACAGAAAATCTTATTTCTGGTTGTTTCTACGCGCGTTTTGCCAATAATACCTCACGCTAACACGTGTAATGTGTAAGGAAAACCCAAGGACCACGAGATGTAAAACCTAGCCGAAGACCGCAAAATTCAAAATTTGGAACAAATCCTTGTACTTTTGCTCGGACTCTAACTGGTTGATTTCGAAGTCAAATGAATTTAATACCGCGCGAATACAACTAAAATCAGACTCCAGGAAGCTGAAAGAATCCGGTAGGTTAACGTCAAGAATTCTGTTCAATTCTAGACGAAGCTAATTCCCCAAAAATGGAATTGCGTATTCTTTCCAAAGCTTCTTCCACACTTTAAAACTCCAAAAGAAAGAAATTACAATAACATTAACTAAATTATATTACCAATAGACCCTTGAGAGGCATTATTGTTGCATAAGTGATTTCTTGAAAAATTTCTGTCAATTTTTAAGGTCAACGTAATGTAAGTCCGACAAGCCACATTAACTCTGTACTTAAAACATTTCCTGCGATGTATTACCTTCTTTCTTCATACCCATGGTGAGGCATTTGTTCAGGCGACATCTCTGGCACCTATTTCGGTGAATTTTATCTACTGGACAGGCGCCATTCCCTTGACAACTGTAATTTAAATTTTTCCTCACGCTTCTCTTGAAAAAGCCCTTACATCCTTCACAAGCTACAATGCCATAATGTTTCCCGGTCCCACGGTCTCCGCACACAAGGCAGTCTCCCCAAACTGGTTTTAAAGTTGTAGGTGAAAGCACCGGACTACGCTGAAAGAACTCAGCCCTGAACGAATCTACAATTCATACAAAAACAAAGTGAACGGCGCGCTACTGATGAAGCAGAATTTCTCAAGAACATCTGAAGAAAGAATCTCACAAATCTCACCACGGATCGGGAAAATTCACAAGTAACTTAACAGTTAAAGTTCAAATGATACTTTCCATCCCAAAGAATACACGATAACATGTTTCACATTCGTAAACGCATTCACGAGTACGTGAGAAAATATTCAAGGAAATACTAGGTAGATCACATTCCAGTCATTATGACCAAGCATATTTCATGAAGGAAGAAATAAAAAATCTTGTCATTCACGTACCACATGTCTACATTAGGTCTATAATGTTAATATTTGGCAGACCAGCACGTTAGGAGCATCAGTATACGAAATGAAAGCCAAAAACATCGTTCTTTGTGGTCGCCATAACTTACCGGTCATAGTTCACAGACTTACTGAAATCCAACTAAACACAGTTAAATTCGAGTTTTCAAATCCGCCGATATTCACAACGTCGCTAAAGGACAGTATTGAACGAAATGGGCGGATTGAAGAAGCAAACGTCCTAACATAACATCGGAGTAAATGCCTGTTCGGAAACTAAGTAGTCTTGCGTTTTGCCTTACATGTGCTGAGTTATCTCGCATTGCCCTTACAGAACACGCTTTTACCTTTCACTCTACTAAACACTTGAAGGTCAGCGAGAGGACAAAGGCTATTCCTCTAATTACTATCGAGTATTCTGATTGGCTAGTAAATAAAGAAAAAGTTTGATTGCACCAATCACGAGAGACTTGAGATCTGGTCACAGTCGTAGTCACGACACTTTCTAATAGAGAAAACGTGAGAAAACACGTGTGTCGCGACACGCAAACCTTGCAAGGTAAATATGCGTGTGAACTCCATTACATAACATTGCATTTTAATTCACGTTTGTACATCATTGAAAGGTCGACATCCGTGTTATTTTGAAATATTTTAATTCCATTACTATGAATCTGAAGATTATTTCAGTAGCTGTCGTTCTGAAGGGTTTATTTCGTTGTCAAATCCAATTCGAATCCATCGGAGACAACTGGTCACGCACTAATATTGGCTCTATACCTTACCCGGCTTTTCAGGTTTTGAACACTAAGCAAATCAGCTTTCAAAAATCTTTCAACTTGCAACGAAAGCTTTTCAAGTGTATTTTCCTTGAAGGAGAACAAAGAATAATTTTATCGACTCCTTAAAGCATAATTCATTCTGTAAACTTCCTGACTCTACTACTGTGCTCGCCCAATGTCAAATGTAAGGGACTTTGACCTAGCAAGTGATTTAAATGGCATTAAGGGGGAGAGGGGAGAGGAAGGGTGGTGTTACAGTCAAGGCGCTATGGATTAGCTATCAACACAAAAAAGAAACAAACGACGAAAATGAAATTTTTAACCAAAAAGTAAAAGAAACAAAACAAAAAAGTGAGAACTAATGCTGTTGCAACTTCCAATAACTATGACATCTGTCTTGTATCACGTGGACAAGACGTTTGGTGTGTCAGGAAACAAAACAAGTCAGTTACTCTTTTGTGTCAAGCTGTATTTACAGTCTACTGCGCAGCTGACCTTTGAGATGTCACGCTTTCCGTTGCGTGATATCCCGAGGAACGACAGTGTTAGTGGCAACACTAAGGGTCGTTGTTTTAAGATTTTTTAAAGATAGGTCGAAAGGCAGAAGTCTTACTTCACTTGTACCAAATCTACAGCTTTGCCCCGGGATGCAAATCACGAGATGTAACTTGACATTCTGAAATAGTCTTGTCGCTTGGTCTTTGAAGTTGGCGACGTTCTCCAGAAGTTTGCGTGAAACAAACGCACTTGGAGGTCTTCACACGGGGCGTTTAACCGTAGTCTTAAGTCGGTTTAGTTCGACGATATCTTAGGCTCAACTTTGCAAATCTTTTCGTCATAATTTTGAGGGCTTCCTCAAGTTTCATCTTCATCTCTTTGTAATTTAAATATTTGTTCGAATTTCAAGATAATTTTAGGATATAACAGTTCCGTGTTGTCTCCCGCGGTGTTTAGACCGAGAGCGCCACGTGAAGGGAAAGGTGAGGTGCCACTGGCAAAACGAGTTTAATTTGGTTGTTTGGGAAAGCAAGAACAACTACGAAAAATGTGAATAATAGGTCTACAGACATTCAATTCTTTCTCTATATCATTTTTTCAACAAGACTGTTAGGTCACCAAGAGCCTAAATTCATGTTTCTTCCATATTTCAAAACAGACAATTTGGGTTAGTGCGGGTAACATCTTTAAATACATTTCGCTGTTTGCTGTCAGTCAAACTTGGAAATTTGGAGCTGCAATGCTGTTGGTTCAGGGGAAGGGGTTCTGCGTACGGTTCACGCACATTAAACAACTTTAAAAAATTCACAGTTTAATGGGTTTTAATTTCGTATTTTCCCTCGTCATGAAAATTAAGAAAGAAAACTTTATCCCATAGCACGCAATAACCCGCGGGGAAGGTACGATGAGTTAGTGGGCGGGGAAAATAGTCAAGTGCTAATGAAAGGGCCATTTATCAAGAACTTTCCAAGCGTTCAAAGATAAAAAAAAAATCCAGAAGCAAATATAAAATTTTAAAAGTGATTAATTTAGCCGAACGGTTCGGATTCTATTTATAACTGGACCAGTCTAGTCAGTCGGTTCTGAGTAACGGCAAGTTCCCCTAAGCCCCTTAGGATTATGCGTGGAATGATCACGATGATATTACACAGTTAGTTTTTGCGGAATGTGCGTATGCTTTCCGACGACAGAGATGAAACTCGCTATATTTGCCAGCACTATGACTTCGGCTGCCGTTCTTGAGCGGGTTCGTGACCCACATGCAGGCCACAACATGATATGACAACACAGTCAACATCACAGAACTTGAGGACAATCGGAGGTACGATACACAAAGGCTTGATAACCAGCCAGCCACTTTACGAGAAATGTGCCCACGCTCCTGTTCTGTAGAACGAACCCGAGAAAACGGCGGAAATCGAGGCATGGTAACACAGAGTACTCAGTCATTGACGTTAACCACTGAGTACTAATACTCGGTTCGCTGGCTAGCCAAAGTTTCCTGGTCCCTGATGTCTGTCAGACTTAAGCATCGTAAACAGAGCAATACAATTCCTGATTTTGTCCTCTGTGCGAATTGGGAACCTACAGACGTACATCCGCTTGGTTCTCGATCTTCAGCACACTGGGTGATTCCCAAGTCTTCTATAGTTCCACATCGCAATTTACACAGAGATGAAGCCTTTAAAACGCCTCCTTTATGTTCTTCCTGAGACTTCACCAAACAGCACTTTATTCTTTAACTTTCATTTGAGTAAGTTTAGCTCGCATTCTGTTTCTTCGACGGCAGAAAATATTTCGGTGTTGACATGTGATAGTGATGTCGCCAAGCAGAATAATGTCCTTTATAGAACGCACCAAATCTGTAGAGGAAACAAAAGAGTTAATTCTAAAGAGCGAAAATGTCAATTAAGGGTGGATTTTGTTACACTACAAGCAAATTCGCCATCATCTTTAGTGTTCTCCCTTATTTTACGCATGACGGGCAAACTAAATTTTCAAACCGGTAAAGCGATCCTTTTACCTGTTGAATTTTCAAGAATTCCACGCAATTTTAAACGGTAATAAGAGGTACTACAGGTGGTAAATGTTACCGGTTACGGCCTGAAAGGAGAACACTGCATCTCCAAAGGATAAGTTATGAGGACCAAAAGTACGTGTCGTTTGGATTGGCTCAAAAGCTACCGTTGCCTTTTGTTTGTAGACATACTAAATTCAGACTGCAGGAGAAGTTATGGACTGCAATTTGTCTAGTCCTCTAGCTAGAGACAACTAACCTAAAACACAATTTCTTTTACCCTTACGTCTGAGTGCAGTAGAGGTTTTCGCCAACGAGCAGACCCTCGTTGTTAGCGCTTCAGCATGACGAGCGTTTCTCCGCTTGTGGGAAAGTAAAGGGAATTAAGAAACGCGATCCGGCGAGAGTTTTGCTTGTGGTATAGCACTGTTAATGTTAATACCAGACCCCCGGCAAACCTCTCCTCGACTCATCTCCAATCTTCCCTCGAGCAGAGAAGCGCGCGTCCTGCAGCGCTCATAATAGGGAGGCCCTGATCGCTGGTTAGGCGTTATTACCTGTTAGGAAATCTTATGTTCTCCGGGACATCTTTAGGACTCGTTGTAAGGATTTCATTATCCTGGTATGTCGTCCCTGCTGGAGGAATACGGAACTTGGCCATTTGCACCTCGGTGTCGCTTAGTCCCCCGTGGGAAATTCGCGCATATCCTAGTCGTACGAGCCCGCGGTACATAATATACTCGCACCAGCGGTCAGAATCTGTTGCATCGATGTCCTGTCAAAGCGAAAAAGTCAGAACTAAGCTAAGAAGGCAAAAGAACACTTCAACAATTCCATGCTCGTCGTGTTGCTTGTTTACTCTACAGCTATTTGCATGGTGGTCACTGCCAAAAGGCTAACGCTTTTCAACATAAAGACATAAGTCAAGCTTATTCCTGAAGGGATAAACTGCTCGGCGTTCGCGCCAGTGCTAGTCAATTAAAACGAAGAAAACTTCCCGAGTTAACTGGTAAACTTCAGCTATCTATATACCTATCTGTAAGAAGCGTACGTGCTGTCACACTGAATTTTTCATTCCTGAGTTTCACACATTTTGTTACTGACACAAACAAATGGTAATTGAACTCAGTGTCGTATAATTTTGGGGTAATCGTGCTCGTAATTTTCAAATCACTTCCTCGAATACTCCCTGAATTGCTGGAATTATCACAAACAAAACTCTTTCTCACCTTCGTTCGTCCCATCTCCGTCAGCATGCGGTAATCACGACTGCGAGGTGATGACGTCACATATCCCAGAAACACCACAGGGTTGAGACTGCAAGATATAAGGATCGTGAGATTTAGCGTGACTTACCGCAGGCAGACCACACTATACGTTCGTGGTTAATTATTGTTGACACGAGACGAACAAAATATATGGGGCTCATGAATAAAGCTCTGAAATTGCATATCTAAATTACATCTAGGTCTGAATATCTCAATAAAATTAAATGAAATGTTAATCGATGCATTTGTGGAATTTTTTCGCCTTCATGGGCCGTTTGAAGCGTCTTTTTGCGAAATTACTTTTGGCTAGTGGCCGTTAACCCTTTCACTCCCAAGATCTCATAAGTAATTCTCCTTACCGTCTGCCATACAGTTCTTGTGATGTTAGTTTGAAGAATTTGGTATTGAATCAACTAATAATCCCTTATTCATATTTTTCTTTATTCTCATCACTTGTCTGTTTGATATTGTACTGATATTGTGAGGAGAAATTCTGTCTTGGTCACTCATGGAAGTTAAAGGGTTAAGAGAAGAAAGGGAGACAGGGCTTGCAACTTGCCTGTGGGCGAATATGTTGACTGCTTGTGATAAAATATGAAAACAATGATATAAAGAATACAGCTTTGAAGAAAGGGTTCGTTTACCTCTCATCTAAAATTCTGGCTAGCTCCTCAGCCTGAAGCTTTCTGTCCAAGTTATCCCTGTGATAGATTTTAAACACAACTCACAATCCCACAAAAATCTGATTAAAATATATAAATAGATATATAAGTTAAGGATCTTAACAATACTGACAAGGTTTGCTGATTTGTATTGACGGGAACTAAAAACATCACAAGGTGGAATCCAAGGGTTACTAAAAAGTTGGTTTGACACCGAATAAATATTCTGAGCAACACAACTTCTGAGCAAGCAATCATCATTTGCGCCTTGCCACGAATGTTTTTTTGGCCTATGGGAAAGTTTAAAGCCAAGGGCGGAGGAAAGCGCGTCCTGCATAGCCTACATCTAGTCGTACCCTCCTCTGCAAGATGAAACTGAGGCGCTTCTGTTTCACCTTGGAGAGAGGGTACAGCTACAAGTAGGCTAGTCCCGCAGCACTAATAATGAGAGCCAGCTCGCAGGCTTTTAGCCCTTTCCACCCTAACAACAGTATGCATATTCTCCATAATGTTCCCTATACATTCCCTAAGGTACTGATGAACAGAATTTGTTTCATAATCCAAAGCTTCTCTAGTTGGTGACCATTTCCTTTATTCTCATAACCTTGATGTGTGATTTGGGGGTGATATTGTAAAGAGAAATTAGATGCTAATCTCTCTTAGGGGTTAAAGGGTTAGGCAATGATGCTGTTGAAAATCATTTTTACATCTTGCTCACCGATCGTTTCCCATGTGAACCAACACAAAATCCACCAGGTTACCAGTAATGTTAATAGTTGCACTCAAAGCTGGAGCCAGTTCTCCTAACAGAATACAGTAAAAGGGATTTAAAATAAGGAAAATAGATCAGAATTAAATTGGTGTGTCTCTCTTTATGGTAATTCAGTTTAATGGATATGTTCCATTCATTGTCATGCATACCATTTAGTAATTAGATCGTAAGCTTGGAATTCTATTGCATAGGAATTGAGAGCAAGCAATTGAATATTTCATTATAAATCTACTTTTCCTTCAAAACTTCACAACAAGACAGGCTTAATGTCGGGCTTCCCAGCTAATTCAGTGTCTATCACCAAATAAATGGTAAGTAGCATAGCCAATCAGATTGCAGAATTTGCAATAGAATGCTGGAAGATTTATACTAATCTTAGTGATGTTGTTCCTTAGTGGGAGGATCCCAGTGGATGAGGTCAACAGACTATTTGACAGTTTGTAGCATACACATTCTCTGAGAGAAATCAATCTTGTCTCATGTTAGCCCAACCTAACTCAGCTAACACTGAATCAATTTAAAGTTATCCAATGTAAAAAGTCAATAATTTCTGCACTTGGAATGGACTTTTACCTTCTGGAGATGGAAGTAAGTGATGGAGAGATTTCACTATTGGGTACTTGGAGAGTAAGGTGGCACTAGAAACAAAGTTGACAAAGTCACTTTTAAGTTTGCCACAAACACAGCAAAAAATCATCAATTGTTCCAGTTCACTTGTCCCATTGACTTGACATGGCTGACAAGTTGTTTAAGTTATTTACCCCCATGTGTGGTCCCTTGTGGATGGACCAAAATCTGAGTACATTCCCAGTCTCTCCTCAAACCACATGGCCAAGTCATGGTTTCCAAGATATGGCTTAGAACAGTCACTTTCCAAAAATCCAACTACATCAGCATCTGTACAGAAGACAAGGGCCAATTAAAAAGTACTAAGCAGAACAAGGAGTGAGATGATTGACCTTTGGAATTTTGTATTCTTCTTTGCAGCTTAGAAGAGTTCATAAAGAAAATATATTTGACTTAAGAACAGCATTACAACTAGCATGAAAACACAATGAACAAATGTACTGTAACTACACAAATGACTGTGTGAATAAATGAATAACATACTGGTATCACTGATCATCTGTGCTGCTCTCTCAAAGCTTGGCCATCCAGTATTATCATATGCAAAATGAACAGTCCAGATCATAGCTGAGAACACATTAGCATCTTCCTACAGACAAAAAAGGATTAAATTTTTTGAAAGATTATTTTCTTGCAGAAATATTAACCCTTTAAACCCTAAGAGTGACTAGCATCTAATTTCTCCCTACAATATCACCTCTGAATCACACATTTAGGTCATGAGAATGAAGGAAATGATTACCAACAAAAGAAGCTTTTGATCAGTAAACAAATTCTCCTTGTCAGCACCTCAGGAAATGTATAAAGAACAGTATGGAGAATATACACAATGACATTAGCATGTAAAAGGTTAGAAAAGAAACATTCAAACTAGCCTCTGGACAAAAAGGAGAGAACATTAATACAGAAAATCTGTTCAAATTTCCATCAAATAATGACAACAACAACAATAATAATAATAATAATGATAAAAACTATCAGACCTTATTAGGTTGAGAGTATTCCAATCTGTGAAATCTTACAGCCATCAGGATAACAGCTAACACAATAACACCAACAAGAACTAAAAAATAGCAAAATAGAAAAAAAACAAACCAGGATGAAAATACAAACAGGAAGCTACAATGCATGCTTAAAGAAAACATGAAACAGTTACTGTACTTTTCCAGTTTATACAAATTGATTTTAATTTGAAAAATTTTCCTATCTAAAAGTGTAATCAATAAGGTTTTTTTCTTGTACAGTTCCACAACTTTTGCATAATGGAAATTACTATTCTTAAAAAGAGAAAAAAGTTCACAATCTGCCTTATTTTTCAATTAAGAAAACTTCAAAATAATGATAATCATTACCTGGTATGACATGAGTCTTGAAGAACCAAAACTTATCACCATGTTCCTCAAGGAAGGCCACATTATTGAATTTTGTCACAGGAGATTTCTGCTCAGGGCCTGACTGACCATGGGAAGAGTTTTTGTCATCCTTTACATTTTCTTCTTTTTTTATTTTTCCATAAGCTTCTTTAACATCTGGGGTCGACTTTGTCCTCAAAGCAAGTCCTTAGGAGACAAGGGCAAACAGAAAAAGCATGTTATGCTTCATGGGGTGAATGTTGTGCCAGTTACATTTAAAAAGTTTCTAGTTCATTTTGTCCCAAAAAGGTTTATGTGTTTACAACTTGTGAGTCTGAATCTACACATGAGATGTCTTTTTTTTTAACCCTTTCACTCCCATGAGGAACCAACAAGTTCATTCTTGCTTCCATCATTAGACTGTCTAGGAAAAAAAGTGACGAGAAGCTGCAACATTGAAATCTTAGGAATAAAGCATTAGATACATGTATATTGAAAAATCTTGCATAGCTGTACTTACCAATTAAGACCATTGTGATACCCAACAGTATGTGGGTCCTTTCCCTTGTAAATTCTCCTCCTGGAACAAAGTTATAAGCAACAACCCACACTGAGCCCAAAACAAGGATAATGTAAACCAGATTGGCCAGAGTCAGTGTACGCCCAACAGGTCGACAAAACAGTCTGTCAATCATAGTTGGCCAGATGGACATGGTGTAGATGGCGAGCAAGAGACCGCCAATCATTGACCAATACCGAGGAGCAAAGTAAAGTAATGCCGCGCCAGTAGATCCAATTAACCACCAGAACACATTGCTTGTCCACTGATAACGTGAAAGAATAACTCCTATGCCAAGAGCAATGATGACAGCTGCTCTGATGATGAAGAAAAATAGCAATCACCTTTTTCATGAATTAGTTCATAATATTTAGATGATAAAGAATTGTTTGGTCAGTCAAATACAGTGCAGTTGGTTAGTCTGTTGGCTAGAGTCACTTTCTTGGCAGTGAAGTCTGTCCTGTGCTGTCCAACTTTGATCAATTGATTCTGTTAGTTATATAGTAGAACATCCATTCATGGGACACCCTTAGGACCAGAGAAAGTGTCCCTTAAATAGAAGTTGGGTTGGGGTTTGTTATTAATAAATCTCAAAAAAATGACATTGTTTTTTATCTTTTGGCTTTGAATGTGCTTTGATATTGCTTAACTTCAATGTAGTTTAATTTGCATTTTAAAAAAAGTACAGTTATGGATGAAAACTTTCCTACCAAATAATAATAATCATTGTTATACTTACCCCCAAGGGTTGGGTTTGGGTCCTGTATCTGGATAACCAGAAACAGCCCAGCGGCATACAAGTGACACTTCCCCAAAAACATCATGTGTAAGGAACATCAATGCACCAAATCCTAATGCCACTAAGAACCACCCTGGACCAGAAACCAAAGCATCTTGGGGCTCAATTGATGACTTGGATTGGGTCCCTGATTGAGTGACCGACATCATGTAGCTAGTATAGACTCTATCCAATATGGCAATGACAGCAACGAGAAGAACAACCCTGTTGCTAGTGACATCTGACCAGATTGGGTTGACAGTGATGTATGCAATACGCAGTAACAACAACAGAAACAAACCCAGGATAAGGCCCCAGAAGGAGAGCACCCTGAAATAAAATAATTGGCCATAAGATTTTTATCATGTTAACACATAACTGTTAAAGAATGAACTTTATAAGACTCTAACACCCAGATGCATCAACACAAGAAGATCAAGAGTGCTTTGTCTCACCTTTCCTTTGGATCTTTAGACCATATCATTCCACAGAACCACAGCATGCCTGTTCCACAGCCAACTGCCAACATTATCAATCTAACAAGAGTTGATGGGGCTTGGAAAGAAGCCACACCCACTAAAGAGAGAACTCGCCAAAAAGCTATTCCATGAATAGTACCAGAAAAGTGAAGCACTGCACTGATTCCAGTAAATATAGGTGAAAGAATTGTCACCACAAATGCTTCATAACCAGATATTTCAAGTTCATTCAGTGGATAAAACCAAATCATTGGGGCTATCCCATGGATAAGTGACCACCAGACATATCCTAAAGAATGAGAAATTTTGCAAGGATTGGTTGATAATGCAAACACCACAGCAGTAATGAATTCTACATGACTATGGATGAAAAGAGGAACTTTCTTCTTTTTACCCTATGTAATTTTTTCAATCCACGATATAAGAATTGCGTGACCTCAAAAGGAAGCTACTTTCTATAGTTTATTTTTTAATTTTCATCCATGT